TGACCAATGATCATCAGCTTTCCCCTTCACTTCCTTAGGGACATCTGAGGCAAGTGGACTGGGTCCACCAGGATCTAGCAGGTAACACAGACTAGCTGCTAGGGAAAGGAAAACAATAGCAAGCAGGTGGGGAAAAGGCTTGTGACCTCATAGCAGTGTAAAGCATGGAAGAATATTGGTTAAGAAAGGAAGGATGGGGAGTGGAAGGGAGGGGTGGGGCAGGGGCAGTGCTAGCTGCATATTTATGTTTACCCAGCTGCTATTCTGATTTTTGTTAAGTTCTCTTCTTGGAAAGAAGGAAAGTTATGCCTTCTTTCAGAGTGCCTGAGCTCAGGAAGTAGGGAGGGGTCCTGGAGGACTGTGGGCCAGAGGGATTGGGGAAATAACAAAGTAAGGAGAGACCATGGTACTGGGGAGAAGGGTAGGAAACTCATGAGCACAACAGTGGTCCCACACAGAGCTAGAAGTGGATATACAGCCTCAGCCTTTGAGGTGGGAAACAGACTGTGTCCCAGGAATCTTCAGCAAATGGCTGGACCAGAAAGGAAGAGAAGGGCCCTGCAAGGACATAGCAGATGGGGGACATCAGATTTTAAAGTATTTATTTAATCCACCTCATCCAGCATGTGATCTGTAAAGAGCAGCCAGAAAAACCTCCCCTGAAGGGTCTGTACACCCCAAGCCTGCGTAAACTGGGCCACTACTGGGCAATTTTAACATCTCCAAACCTAGAAACTGCCTCTTTGCTGTGAGAATACGGGATGGAGAGTTTGGGAAAGAAAAGGGAGGCCAAAGAGTGACTGGAAAAAGTGTAAAGGTGGTGAGGTGGAAAGTCAGGTGGTCTGAAAAAGCTGAGGAAGGAGTTTAGAGGTGGCAGCCAGTGAGGCTGGCACAGTGACATAGAATGGATGAGGAAGGGGAACTTGCACCAGACAAGCAGACACAGCTGGATTAGAAATGGAATTAGAATGGACTGGTTGAGGATGAAAGGTGTGAAAGGAGCAGCACAGGTCTGACTAGGCAAGAGATCTGGGATGACAAGCCTGAGAAGGAAGGATTTCTCTAAGAATTGCCTGCAATTCCCTAGAGAAACTTTCTGTACCATTGTAGGCTACTGAAAGAAACTGGCCTGAGATGCCTTAAATCTGCTAAGACTAAAGAGCCATCTGATGGTAATTGCACATAGTCACCATTGACCTGGACACAGTCCTAGTCCTGGCCTTAAGTACTAAGCCTATATGTAGCTCTGAAAATGGACTGCCAGTGTCTTCCTTGTGTTGCAATGGTCATTTTTCTCTATCATTCAGGACTATAAAACCAATCTTTGCTTGATGTTCTGTTTCATGACATTAGTTTCCAAATCCAGCACAAACCTCTGCTAAGCCAGTTCTTATTGTTTCCAACATTTGTTAAACACTCTTCAGCCTTTCCTTGTTCCTTTGGTTCTCTTCCATGCAGGCAGGGTACCTCAGCCCTTTCCTCATTGTCACATCTCTTCTAGGGTCTCTTTTTCCCTTAAGGAGGAGATCTCACTGCTTTCCCTGAGGCTTACTGTTCGGCTGGGCTGAATGTGGTAGCCTGACAGAGGGGAGGCTGCCACAGCTCCATGACCCCTGACCCAGCCAATAGCAAGGCTGAGAATGTATTCCCTGTAGACACACATATATGCAACGCATATATACATGTATACACAGCTGACTGCACAGATCAACGCAGACGCACCCACCACTCACACAAACACAAACAGCACCACAGAAACAGAAACAGCATCAGTGGCCTCATCTTGCGTCCCTCTCTGGCTGAACTGGATGAGGGTTCAATAGTGGGAAATATATGTATACATATGTACAATTTGCATCCTTTCCATAGCTGTGCTTAGACACCGAGTCTGCCCAGTAGCTGCCCCTGGATCCCAGTCACCACATTTGTCAGCACCTGGATCTATGAGCCCCCAGGTCCTGCAGCCCCACTCCAATTGCTGGTATGCACACACACACGCACCCCACACCCTGCCCCCCCCTCCAATAGGTGTCTGAGACTCCCCCGCTCCCTCTGGTTGCCACCTCCCACTGGTCTTGCCATTAGAGACACACACCTGGAACCCAGGTCACTTCACTTACTTGCCAGCTAGTCTGGCTTCATGTTCACTAGTGATCACGTACACTCACATACCCTCCCTTGCCCCAGCTGCTGGCATGACGAACAAATGGCCACTCTTACCTGTGGCCCTACTCCAGTTTCTGGTGCTTAAGTTCACTCACTCTGGTCTCTCCAGTTGCTGGTACCTGTGGTCTGACTCCAGTTCCTAGCACTTAGACCTCCATACACAGAACACACGCGCACAGAATAGACAGTCCCTCCCTCAGGGAAATACTTAGAAATGGAATTTAATAAGACAGGGATACACTGAGCTAAGCAGGCACAAGTCATAGCCAGACAAGCATACTCACCAGCAACCTGTTTACCTGTGACTGGCCCCTTTTATAACTATTCCCCTATTTTCTTACATCTATTCTTCTCTAAATCCAGTAGTTCAGGGTCTGATTTGGGAAGCTCAACCATAGCTGCCTTTATCTTGGTACGTTTTTGTTTTCCCTTGTTTCTTCTTTAATCTTAAAAGAAAATAGACTGAAAGAATTAGACGTTTTGAACTGAAAAACAAAAGGGCTGTCAATCTAGCTACTCTTCAGAAGGCAGCAACATATTATGCAATTTCTGAGAGACACACTAGAGGTCCTGAGTTAGTTACACCTTCCAAATACTTCCTTCTTTCAGAGTGTGCAATAATTTTTTGTTTCCTGAGACAGAAAAGTTACTCTGAATAAAAAAAATCTTCATCCTGAAATGAGTAATAAATTCTAACACATGTGACTAGAGAAGAATTTGCAGCCCAGCTGCACTGAAATGATTTCACCTTGTCTCAGAGTTCTTACACAGCATAATCTTAGAATTAATTCCCACAGTCTCCATAGTCTGTTTCATTTCCCATCAAGTCTCTGAAATTCTTTCTTCCTCCAGGACTTGAGGTCTGATTACCACTGGAAGAAAAGGTTTTTAACAGGTCCAGCATGACAGACAATAACTAAGTAACTAAAAAACCTGTAGTGTCTCCATGCACAAGACATGTAGGACTCATTTTAGGACATTCATCAAAGCAGCAGTGTCCCATGGAACTGTCTCAACATGGCCCATGGAAGTGTCTCAAGGTGTCCCATCCTAGCAGTAAGGTGAAAGGGCAAAATGTCAATAAATTCAGATGGAGAACAAGCAAAATCAAGACAAGACTTCCATGAAAGCGAAAAAAAAATAGGTTGTGGGCAGTAAATGCTAAAAATACGCATCAAAGGATAATCTGTGTCAAAACCATAAAAGAATATAAAGGCATATTAAATTTGGTCAAACCCATTTGCTAACTGCTGTATTGACTTTGAAGGCAGCACAAAAATTCAAAGAAAAATGTAAAAGATACGGAAGGTGATTAAAAAAAATGTTCTGTATTGTCTACAATTCCTTGACAAGTCACTGAAACTGTAATACATCCAGCACAGGGCTCAACCTCGCTGGAGCGTGGGTAAGGAATAATTTCTTCTGAGAAAACCTGCAGTGGCAAGAACTGGCAGGGACTGAATGGGAGCCATGGTCAAAACCCTACTTCTCATATGCTAAGTGTCCATGACACTGGAGATCATACAAAACTTTTATATATCATATAGAATATATTTTCCTTCCTGTCTGGGAAGAAGCTGTAGCTTCTCAGGTAATTTCTGTTAACTTCTTAAAAAAGCAGGATTAAAAAAGTGAGACAGGGGACATTCACTACCAAAATTTTTGAGATTCATACTGCTCTTAATCCTGGTATGACCCTAGGATTCAGTCTTAGGCCCAGAGAAAGTACAATATCGCCAGGCTTGCAGTCAGGACATGCCTTTTCTACAAATATATAAAGGTCAAGGGAAGATGTGACTCCCTCTAGAGCTTCAGGCAAATACAGGAGGGGGAATATCAACAAAACAGGAAGAAAAAGAGAAAACCTCAGTAATATCGCTAATTGTTTGGAAGATGCAGTATCAGGCTTACTGAAGAAGATCATTGAAACTAAATACATATTATTTCATTCAAAGTACTAGTGAGGAAAGAATCAGCTACAATAATAAGTTTTTTGAATCCTACATATTCAGAAAAGAATAGAGAGTGGTATAGGTTAAGACAAGGCTAACTAGGATGTACTTGGCAGACTAGAAAAAACAGACTGTTCATGAGGCTAATGTCTAACCACAGTTTTTGCTTTCAGAAAAAAAGGCTGGCAGAGTTGTGTTGCTTTTTGTAATTAGGAAGTGAATTAGAGCTCCCAGGAAGATTAAACTGCAGGGAATATGCTTCTCTGACCGGAAAACAGAAGAAATTAAGTTATGATTAAACATGATTTTTGTGCCTCCACTATCTTGGTCTATCATCTTTGCTTCTGTCTAACATAAGTTCTGAGTTGTGAGGTACCACCTTTCAGGTATTAAGAACGACTCTCCAGAATGAAACAATGTGTGTTTACATTTACTGGAATAAACCTTTCTGGAAACATGGCCCAAGAAAGATGGGCCCAAGAAAGATGGATATAACCACAGGTGTAAATTAGTCAAAAAATCATTTATGAGGCCAATATTCCCAGGTTCATGGCTGACAGATCCAATACCCAGACATGCATGATGATGGAATGACAAACAGTACAACATTCAGCCAGCAACTTACTGATCTGCAAGCAATCCCACGTTTTTGTCAGGAGCTCAGAACACTGCCTGTCTTGTGGAAAGGCTAAAACAAAACTTACAGCCACATTAATACTTAGCTTGCTTTTAATGGCTCACCAAAGGTGGACTGTCCCTTCTCTCTTCTCTGCCCAAGCTTGATGGAAAAATCGGAACAAGGGGAGGGGCATCAGTCCCTAGCCTCTTCTCTCTTAACTCACAATAAGCAGTAACACACTGTTCTGGGACAGCTGACGGGCCATGCTGACTGTTTTGCTTGCTCTTTTACCTGGTGAGAGACAACAGATCCATCTGCAGCATGGCTCTCATCCAGGCCATACAGGGCTGGTGTGAGGTAAAAGACCCTTTTTGGCCATGATCTGTACTTCTTCTCCTCCCTTTTTCTTTTTCTCTCTCACTCATGCAGGTGCTGGGGTCGGAAACCTCATCACACAGTGGCCAGAAGAAACCCTTAAGAGAGCTGGAGAGACTGTGGACATCTCCTGCTACCAGAATTTTATCAGACTTGCCTATGTGTTCTGGTACCAGCAGCCTCCAAGAAATGGTCTGAAGTTAGTAGCCAGTACTTCTACATGGATGCAAAATTCTTACGAGGAAGGTTACAGTGAGGCCAAGTTTGAAATAAGCAGAGACAATAATGATTACTCTGTGATGACGATCAAGAATGTGACATCCAAGGATGCAGCCACGTATTTCTGTGCTGCGAGTGATCACACGGTATTGCGAGGGGGTTGAGCACTAAGATAAAATCCCCGCCTTGCCTGAGTAAGAGATGGAGTCTCTGAAAAATGTGAGTGAGACAGATTGGAGAGGAGCAGAGGAAGAGCAGATGACAGACAAGGGAGAAGTGGGAGGATAGAGCCAGGACTTTTTGGAGGGAAGAGGGACAGACAGAGCAGTGCAGCAGCATCTAGCTTCAAAGACAAAAAGCCTTCAGAGATACAAACCCCTAGATCAGCATTAAGAATTGAGGCACTGCTGATGTGGTTAGTGAAAGGCAGCAAATACTTCTTAGGATTGGTGCTACAGAAGCACAGCCATGTTCTGGGCCACTAGTTTCCCACAGACCCCCCACAACACCAAGGAAAGAGTACAAAGCAGAAGGAGAATTCAAGGTTCTTCCACATACTGATGATCCACCAAAAGACAGAGCTGCCCAATGAGAGATTGACTGGTGTGGGAGGAGAGCCCAGCCTGTGATTATGGACATAGGAGGAAGACACTAGTACAGGCGGGAGGAAACATATCCAGGGGACCAGGCATACCTTCCATTGTGGAAGGGACAGCCCCTTGGCAGCTTTACAAGCAATAGTGTGCCCTGCAGCACTTTTATTTACCTGCTCCACACACCACTTAATTGCAGGATCCCCCTCTTCCTTGCCACAGAAATGAGTAACAGTTCTGAGCTGAACCAAGGCATCTCTTCATGGCAAAACCTCATGGGCAGAGAAAGGAAACCACAAAAAGCTGCCGTCCCCTGGTGCTCCCCTTGTGAGGGAGAGCTGAAGGCAGAAATTGCCTCCCATTGTGCCTCTGTCTTCATTGCTTGCAGAGATGAGCTTTTGATGAACTAATTGTTCTTCTGTGATGGGCCTGGGAAAAGTGAGGGCAGAGTATTATTAGGGTTCCTCCACCTACCATTGGCTGCCTGTGCTTCTGTTTTTATTGCATAACCTAGCACTTACCTTTTCTTCAAAGAAAGGGAAACAGCAGATAAAAGAGCAAAAGGTACCTTTAAGAAAGTATAGCTATACACTTGTGTATTTTGGGCTTCTGTTTTTAGGTCATGTCTTTGACAATCTGCATACCATTGAGCACAGACCAATTGTTTGTCTCATGTGCTCATATGGAAGACATAGCATATGCTCATAGGGAGCAAATGTACTAAGCTGCTCACTGATGTGGCAAAACTGGATATGCTGAAGTGAAACATACTATTTGATTACAGCAAAAAAAGGAGTGGAGGTGATGAGAATAGCTGCTGAGAGCAAGGAGCAGGAATCAGCTGGCAGCATGTCCTGTCCTGGTTTCAGCTGCCATAGAGTTGTCTTCCTAGTAGCTGGTATAGTACTCTGTTTTGGATTTAGGATGAGAATAATGTTGATAACACACTGATGTTTTTGTTGTTGCTGAGGAGTGCTTACACTAAGTCAAGGACTTTTCAGCTTCTCATACTGCCCTACCAGCGAGGATGCTGGAGGTGCACAAGAAGCTGAGAGAGGACACAACCAGGACAGATGGTCCAAACTGGCCAAAGGGATATTCCATACCTTATGATGTCATGCTGAACAAAAAAAAAATGGGGTGAGTTGGCCAGGGGGGCACGGCCACTGCTTGGGAACTGGCTGGGCATCGGTCAGCGGGTTGTGAGCAATTGCATTGTGCATCACTTGTTTTGTAAGTTCTTTTATCATCATTATTATTATTATTATTATTTTCCCCTCCTTTTCTATCCTATTAAATTGCCTTTATCTCAACACATGAGTTTTACTTTTTTCTGATTCTCTCCCCATCCCACTGGAACAAAAAAAAAATGGGGTGAGTTGGCCAGGGGGGCACGGCCACTGCTTGGGAACTGGCTGGGCATCGGGCAGCGGGTTGTGAGCAATTGCATTGTGCATCACTTGTTTTGTAAGTTCTTTTATCATCATTATTATTATTATTATTATTATTATTATTATTATTATTTTCCCCTCCTTTTCTATCCTATTAAATTGCCTTTATCTCAACACATGAGTTTTACTTTTTTCTGATTCTCTCCCCATCAAACTGCAGGGGGGAGTGAGTGGACAGCTGTGTGGTGTTTAGCTGCCTGCCGGGTTAAACCACAACAGATCCTCACATTCCATTTCAGCAAAATTGCTAGGAGACTTTTGTACTGCCAGGATGGATCGCTCAATTTCATGCCACGGTCCTAGTCTCCTGATCGACCATGCTACATAAATGTTATTTTGCTTCCAGGCTCTGCTCTAAAAGAAGCTTAACTGTTCTTGGCTAGGGAAATCCAGATGCATGACAGAAACTCGTGTTCATTGTAGTCTCACCCTGGACACAGTGGAGGCTCTGAAGAGGCTAAACCTAGTTGCATCCCAGACTTACTCCAGTCCTCCAAAGACATTTCTGAAAGACTCAGCTTCACACACCACTCCTTGCACATCCTGGTAGCCAATATTCTTCTGACTCCAGGAGCTGCTCAGCAATGAGTGTAACATACCATTCCTTGCTCCCAGGGAGCACTCATCTGCTCCTCAGAACACTCTCAGGTCCATGATCTACTCACTGTTCATATCAGGCTACAGACATACAGCAGGGAAGCACTGGGAAAGTATTGTCTCTCACATAGCAGAGACACTGACTTCCTTATTCTTTTCAGCCTCTGATCTTCTTAGATAGAGATCGTCTTTACACAGGTACCAAACACATTCACTATAGAGTGAATTGCTGTCTGGAACTATTACTGGTGATCCAAATGCCTTGTGAAAGTTTTAGGAAAAGTAGTGTATGCTGGAATCATTAAGGAATATAAACACCATGGTGGTAACTTTGGGAGTGACTTTGGATGATTTCTTTTTAGATTTTTTTTTTTATTCTCTTTTAATAAATTACCAGTTCGTGGAAATCATAATGTTACAGTCCTAGCTCAGACCTCTTGCATAAACACTGAAAACCAGCTTTATCTGGGAACATAATAGAGGAAGGATCCCCTTCTATTTCTCAACTCTTGAGCATTTTTAGTTTAGAGTGGCAAATGCAATTTTAAGGCCCTGTGAAAATAAACTTAACCGTAGCCTTCAACGTTCAGCAGATTAATAAGCTGGCTATTGACTGGTCACAGCTGTGCAATTTCCAGGTGGTAGTAGAAAATCACAGAGATCTCTAGTGTTCATTGCCATCTTGAAGTTCTGCAGTCACAGTTCTCTATTCCAGCTCTGAGGTACAATTTTCTCCTATGCAGTACTTCTTTTGCCAGCTTCAAGTGGCACTGCACAAAAAGCAGCTAATCTGAGAAGTTTCTCATGAAACAGCTACTCTCCTCCTTGTTGCACTCCCTGTCCTCATATTTATTCTCCTTTGTCTCCTGCTGTAGAAGGTGGCAGGGGAGCTGTAGCTACAGAAACCATAGTCAAAGGTACCTGTTTTAGATGCTCAGCAGTGAAATCTCAGGCACATCTGTGTAAACAGCTGTATATTTGTAATGAATAGCAGTTTGTCAATAATAGCCTACCTGCAGTCTAGAGGTTATACTGACTACTCAAAAGATAAGATGATGGAAGCAGAGGATGTGTAAAGTCACATCTCTGTGCAGATAATGATGCTATACCATATGATGTGGTCATCCTGCAACTACTGGGAGGGTTTCACAGAATCATGGAATCAGAGAATCACAGAATGGTTGAGGTTGGAAGGAGCCTCTGAAGGTCATCTTGTTCAAACCCCCTGCTCAAGCACGGCCACCTAGAACCAGCGGCCCAAGACTGTGTCTAGGCAGCTTTTGAATATCTCTAAGCATGGAGACTCCACAACCTCCCTAGGCAACCTATTCCAGTGCTCAGTCACCCTCACAGTAAAAAAGTGTTTCCTTGTGTTCAAAAGGAACCTCATGCATTTCAGTTTGTGCCCATTGCCTCTGGTCCTGTCACTGGGCACCACTGAAAAAAGCCTGTCTCCATCTTCTTTGCACCCTCCCTTCAGGTACTTATATACATTAATCAGATCCCTCCTGAGCCTTCTCTCTCTAGGCTAAACAGTCCCAGCTCTCTCAGCCTCTCCTCCTATGTGAGGTGCTCCAGTCCCTTAATCATCTTTGTGGCCCTTTGTTGAATGCTCTCCAGTGTGTCCATGTCTCTCTTGTAGTGAAGAGCCCAGAACTGGACACAGTACTCTAGGTGTGGCCTTCACAGTGCTGAATAAAGGGGAAGGATCACCTCCCTCAACCTGCTGGCAATACTTTGTCTAATGCAGCCCAGGATACAATTCGCCTTCCTTGCAGCAAGGGCACATTGGTGGCTCATGTTCAACCTGCTGTCCACCGGGAGCTCCAGGTCCTTTTCTGCCAAGCGCTGCTTTAGCTGGGTTGCCCCCAGCATATATTGGTGCATGGGATTATTCCTCCCCAGGTGCAGGACTCTGCACTTCCACTTGTTGAAATTCATGGGGTTATTGTTGGCCCATTTCTCCAGCTTGCCGAGGTCCCTCTGGATGGCAGCATGACCCCGTGGTGCACCAGCCACAACATTTTGGTGTTGTCTGCAAAGTTGCTGAGGGTATACTCTGCCCCATCATCCAGATCATTAATGAAGATGTTAAACAGAAGATGTTTCCCACCACAGCTGCTGTTTCTCAGGCTTCCTGTGAGACAAGAACTGACTCAGAACAGAAATAACAGGACAGATAACCTTGTGTTAATCATCCAGTACAGATATTGAATTGGGAGCAGAAGATGAACATTTGGAAAACAATATTGTTCTTTAGTGGAACAACTTGGGCACAAATCAATGGCCTCTAACAAGAAACTTGAGTAGACACAGGCTGGAGGAGAAGGGAAAGAAAGGGAAGGAAATAAAGGAAATATACATACATAGGATGGTATAGCATCACTATCTGCATAAGGATGTGTATTGGGTCTAGCTGGGATGGAGTTAACTTTCCCAATAGCAGCCCTCACAGTGCTGTGCTTTGTATTTGTAGGTAGAAAGGTGTTGATAACACACCAGTGTTTTGGCTTCTGCTGAGCAGTGCTTGCACAGCATCAAGGCTGTCTCTCCAAACCTGCCCCCACCCCCACCCCCAGCCCCTGCTCCAAAGGC